ACAATCCATGACATTATCCTTGAAGGCTGGGTATGAACCCAACGCTTGCGCCAGTGCCAAACTGCGCTGTCGTGTTGATGGCATGTACTCTTGGTTGAGGTCATACCATAGCTTGAAGCCATCTTTCACCTTAGCACCTGAACGTACTATTTGAGAGCATCGTCCACGAAGATACGAGGTGAGCACAGCAAAGAGTTTGTGGGCAAGGTCTTTCTCGGCTGCATCATATGTGCTATAGTCTGGGGCTGATGTTTTCTTCTCAACAAGGTTCAAAGCTTCAGTGTATCGACTGTCTCCAAAGCTAAGCCAGCTGGTGAATTGATGTTTCCACTGCTGAAACAACATTGGGTCCTCACCATTGAAAGTGTCTGGGGCTTTGAGAATACGTGAAGCTGCTGAAAGCCCTTCACCAGTTCCAGAACTCTTTGAAAGCGCTGCCTCGGCAGCCAATGCCGCACGTGTAGCAGCCTCAGCCATAGAAGACATTCTCTGGAGTAGTGCTTCCTGCATCTGCTGTTGTTCCATTGCAAAAGCATTTGAGCATCCAAAAATGAAAATCAGAGCTACAAGGTGACGCTGACATTCAATTGACACTCGTCGCATCTTTCTCCTGTTCAAACGTGAATCCTTCTTCAGCTGGACTGCATGTCCACACACTGTCAAGTACTTGCCATAGCTCAAGTGGCTCATTCTAAAGTACACATACCAAGCCATGCAAATAAACGCAGTCAAAGAAAATGCACCAATCAACGTGAAGCCTCCTGTACTGTCTGCCAGAAAACTCACACCATCAAGTGTGCAGTTCATTCCCCATATCATGTTGTCATGGTTGACTGCATCGTAAATTGCCAAAGCCTGAGTCACGCACATGCTGAGACACCACCAAGCAAACGCACCTACAATTGTAACCTGTATCAAGCATTGGTCAAGCAACATTTGGACACGTATCATCCAAAGTATCAAGGTCACATCGCACTGCATCACAAAGGAATCAATGCTTCTGCTGTCACTGACCAACACTGCTGCCAACTCCACTGCTGACTTGGGTTTGGAAATTGGCACTGCACTACATGACATGCTGAAAAACATTGCTGTTACGCTCATGGATCTTGGGTCTGAGCATATCGTCTTGTTCGTCTGGTCTACACTGCAAAGCTGATTGAATCCATTTCTCACATGCCAGAAATCAGTTGCACCATCACTGCACAACCCCCGAAAATCTGTATTGCATGGATGAACTGCTTGCATGTTGAGTTTGCCAGCATCGTCATGAATGAGGTTCTCTGTTGTGACTGCATCAAGAAACACCGTCTGTCGGGTTTCCACTGCAGAAAAATCAACACATGTTGAAAAACATTCCAGGCATCTGTCTGTTGCTGAGGTTTCCACGCAGTTGCAAAACCGTGCAACTTGTCCCAAGTGCAAGCTCCATTGATCAATGTTCACTCCAGTCATCACGACAGCCATTGAATCAACATCTGCACTCATGTTAGTTGGGTTGCCATTCCACTCAAGCAACAAATCACGCCTGAAGTCGTTCCAAGTCAAACTGCTGTCCATGCACCTGAACACATGCACGGAATCCAGTTGCAAAGAACACTGAACATTGGGCTCATACGTAATCATCCCTGGGTGGCAAATTTCAACATCATACATTTGAACACCTGTCAAGACGCCGTTGGGCTCCATGGTCAACCTGTTCAAAGCCAGTATACCAAAGCCTCCATGAACTGCCAAGGAATCACACGTGTGTACATCTGAAGTCATCATCTCAAGTTGTATACATTCAGATTTCGAATTTGGAAAGAATTGCTGGACCATGGTTTTCACATCACATGCAGTGGCCAAGATCTGAGTTGCCACTGCCATCACCAGCATCCATAGCGTCAAGACGCCACCCGTGGGAACCCTGGCTTTGCAGGCTCCCGCTACCATCTTAAAGATGGATGCAGAGCTCACCAGCTCTTTTTCCTCTACGCTTCTGAGCCACTGTTTGCGGCATTCTCGATTTGTGCCTGTCATCCTTAGTCATGCAGGAAGTGGCCATGCTATTCTTCTCTGTGTCGTTCCAACTGCTATGGACATGCATGCACAGGGTTAGTCTGACTACTACACATTTACATTAAAGATATATATAAGATCTTTCTCATCTATAGAACTTGCATGCGCCGTGCGCCAGCGAAGCCCGTGCGTGCGTGCACTCTGCGAAACTGGTGTCTTGTTTCAAATGTCACAGTTGAAGCTCCACGTCACACTTCACACTTGACAGTCTTCACACTTAACACTGCGCTCTTCACACTGCACCCTTCGCAGTCAACACTTCACTTCACACTGTCCTCTTAAGACTCCACACTTCATACTTCACACTTCACACTGCACTCTTCACGCCCCACACGTCACACTGCACACCGCACCCAACACAAAGCCCATGCAACATCATGCAGCCATTCCAATGCGATGTGCCACCACAGCTTCAGGAAACGCATGGAACTACGCACACAGGAACAACCACTCGTTGCAAAACACATAGAAGGAACCAATCGCGTCCGGAACGACCCCAGCCGCAACCGCCGCACAGACGAGGCACCTTTCATCGCCGGCTGCAGCCACTTTATACGGAAAAACACACGGTTTCGTGCTCCGGCTTCCTCCCCAAAACATAGCCCATGCAACATTCATGCAGCCATTACAATGCGATCAGCAACCACAGCTTCAGGAAACGCATGGAACTACGCACACAGGAACAACCACTTGTTGCAAAACACATAGAAGGAACCAATCGCGTCCAGAACAACCCCAGCCGCAACCGCCGCACAGACGAGGTACCTTTCATCGCCGGCTGCAGCCACTTTACACGGAAAAACAAATGGTTTCGTGCTCCGGCTTCGTCCCCAAAACATAGCCCATGCAACATTCATGCAGCCATTACAATGCGATCAGCAACCACAGCTTCAGGAAACGCATACAACTACACACACAGGAACAACCACTTGTTGCAAAAACACATAGAAGGAACCAATCGCGTCCGGAACGACCCCAGCCGCAACCGCCGCACAGACGAGGTACCTTTCATCGCCGGCTGCAGCCACTTTATACGGAAAAACACACGGTTTCGTGCTCCGGCTTCCTCCCCAAAACAAAGCCCATGCAACATTCATGCAGCCATTACAATGCGATCTGCAACCACAGCTTCAGGAAACGCATAGAACTACGCACACAGGAACAACCACTTGTTGCAAAACACATAGAAGGAACCAATCGCGTCCAGAACAACCCCAGCCGCAACCGCCGCACAGGCAATGAAAGCCACTCTACACGGAAAAACACAAGGTTTTGTGCTCGGGCTTCCTCCCCAAAACATAGCCCATGCAACATTCATGCAGCCATTACACTGCGTTTCGCGGCATCCCGTAGCAAACCTGGACCTATCTACAGACGTGGCAACACCAAATGACAACAATCATGCAGCCATTCCAATGCGATCTGCCACCACAGCTTCAAGAAACGCATGGAACTACGCACACGGGAACAACCACTCGTTGCAAACCACATAGGAGGAACAATTCGCGACAGAAATGACCCCAGCCGCAACCGCAGCACAGACGAGGTACCTTCATCGCCGGCTGCAGCCACTCTACACAGAAAAACACAAGCTTTCGTGCTCCGGCTTCCTCCCCACAACACACGGCATGCAACATCATGCAGCCATTCCAATGCGATCTGGCACCACAGCTTCAAGAAACGCATAGAACCACGCACACAGGAACAAGCATTGTTGCAAAACACATAGAAGGAACCAAACCACTCCAGCCGTATTGGTATGTAGTGCAAAGTCTCACACCACCCTTCATCAAAGTCAGTTCTTTTCTGATGTATCGTTATGTAGTGTAAAGTCTTACACTTCATCAAGGTCCAGTCTCACTCGCGCACCACCCTTCATCATAGTCAATTCCATCAAGTACCAGTAGTACCGCACAAGGCGGTGGCGGAAGTTTCAAAAATAGGAAACCTATAATAGGAGAGCTTGGTTGTTGTGAATCAGGGATGGCAGAGCGAAGCCACTGATGGACCGAAAGGTCGTTGAGGTCTCCTCGTTGAGGTCTCCTCTCTTTCTCTCTCTTTCTCTGACTACCTACCTACCTACCTACCTACCTACCTATCTATCTATCTATGTATCTATCTATCTAACTATCTATCTATCTATCTATCTATCTATCTATCTCTCTCTCTCTCTCATCTAACTACCTTTCGATCTATCTATCTACCTATCTATCTATCCATCTATCTATCTCTCTCTCTCTCTTTCATCTGTCTATCTGTCTAGCTGTCTACCTGTCTATCTATCTATCTATCTATCTATCTATCAGAAGAGGAGACATTCAGTCTCATCGGTGAAGCTCTCTGTCGAGGCACATGTCAAGTCTGTATCACTAATACAACTTGCAAAAGTGAAGCAAACGGGTAAGACTGCAGGTGCCCAGGAGAGATGCATGTCAGTTTGGCAATCAAAGATGCTTGCTCTCTACAAGTCAAGGGCAGAGCTTGCCTTCCGCTTCTTGAACCACTTCTGCGTGGTCACTGACAGCTCATGCCATGGCTGCAAAGACACATTGATATCATTGTTCTACTCTCCGGTCCTGAACAACTGTGCCTTTGCCACTTGCCAGTTCATGAAACCAGGAAAAGTCATTCAGCCATTTGAGATGGACCTTGATGAACACATTGAGTATCTTGCAGCCAGGCGGGAAGTCACAAGGCTTCATGCCTACCGCTTCATGCAGGCAGTTTCACACCAAGTGTCCCAAATGACAAGTGGGAAGTTCTGCCTTTCTTCTTTCAAGCCCCCCCGTGGCATATGCCTGAAACCACTGTCACCAGGAGATTCATTTGAGCACATCACCAGCAGCACTGACAATCATCTGCAGGTGAAGAGGGGTGGTGCACTTGAAACACAAGACACTGCTTGCTTTGATGATGGGACACCAGTGCTGACACTTGTCATGGATCAGGGGTCAACAGGGATGGCAGCCATGGCCTACCTGCAATCACTTGATGTCCTAGTGCACTGCTCATTTGACAAGGTGCACAGGTGCATTCGAGACTTGAAGTTGGCATCGCAACATGCAAGTGGCAACTTCGGCCAGACCACATTGATGACCAGCTTTGTCTGGTCCCTCAACTACAAGCCTTTCAAGAGTGGTGCATGGTTTGAAGAAAAGAAGTGTGCTTTGAATTCTTTCCTGGCAAGTGAAACAAGTGTCCCTGAGCTGGGTTCATGGTACAATTTTTGGCATGTCATGGGGGGGTGCTGGTTTCTTTGCTTAGCCAGCCTGGTTTATTGTTGTTGTATTTTGTCACTGGAATCTCTTGGGCAAGGATTTGGACATCTTCAGGAAGTACATGCCCAAGATCATTCAAGACCTTGGTTTTCCAGAGGATGCCAGTGCTGAGCTGGTATGGCAGGAATTCCCACTGCGACTGACCACTTGGAGAATCAAAGAGTTGGCGGTGAAGCAATCTCGATGGTTCAGCTGGCATGATGCTGCCAGTGTCCAACTCCCGGAGTTTTGGAGTGCAAGAATGATACTCGAATGGTACTGTGGGGGTGCCAACCCAGATGCAACTTGTCAACAATTCAATAAGATGAGAGAAGACCTTGGAGGCTTGGAGCTTGCTTTCAAGTGCCTTTCCCAGGAAACCTTTGAAAATGCACATGTGATGTACATCTGCAGTGAACCATGCCGGGGGTGGTACTCTTGGCACATAGAACATGTGAAGACTGCCCAGGACAACCTGAGGTATCAGCTTCACTTGTCAAGGTCCATCACTTGGCAATCTGAGTGGCACTTGCGAGAGCTGGCCGAGTTATTGAGCCCTCGTGGCTGGTCCAAGTTCAACAAGCTGATGATTTCTGTTTTGAACCCGGATGGAGTGGCCAAGAAAATCTTCTCCTTTGTCACACAGCTTCTGGGTCGTCGATGTGCCTCTCTGTCCAGGCACTCAAGCCCACCATATTGCTATGTAGGTCTACTCGGCAGTGACATGGCAAGTGCAAGGGCAGCAGGGGACCTCATGATATCGGATCTCACTGCATTGCTACATTTGGAAGTTTCCACGATGGATCAAGCGCAAAACTTAGCAGCTGACTTGCGATTGACACTTGATGCTTGCTCAAGGTTGGCCAGCATGCTGCTGTGGGATGGGCATCATGAGAAATCCAAAGCTCTTTTGAAAGCCTTGCTGGTCACCATTCCCGACAGCAAATGCATTGAAGACTGCCACCAAGTTGTAAGAGTTGCCCAGAAGAACAGGGGGAATGAAAAGATGACACTGCCTGCTGTCCAGTACTTGATTGAAAACTCGAAGGTGCTATCTCAAAGGGATTTGCAACATGGCCCTGAAGTGACCCGATGATGTATTTCATGACAGGTTCCGTGGATTGAAACCAATGCCACGCTCCGAGTACTTGGCTTCCAAGCACAAGTTGGACAAGGTTTTTGGGAACATCATGGGCAAGCGGCAGTGGATTGCTCTCAGTGAGCCAAATCTGGCAGCTTCAGCAGCTGCATGGGAATGGTTGCGTTACCATGCGAAGGAAAAGCTGGTTGAGTCTGCAGTCATGTTGAAGGACTGGCCCTGGCTGCACTTGGTAAGCTTTCACTTACATATTTATTTCCATCACTTAAATTTGAATCTCCATGGCACTTAAATGCTCAGATGCTGCACTGCAGGATGGTCTCTTGGCAGTTTGTGCTCTGCCAGGCCAAGTGCTTCAGCATTCAAGTGGCACTTGCTTGGTTCTTGGGCAACACAAGTGGTCAATATTGGTTTGGCCTGCACTGACTACCGCGTAAAACTTTGATACACAAAGTTAGATCGCGAAAACCGCTTTCAAACCTCTCGTGCACAAAGTAAACCCAAACCAAAACACAAACAAACGGTGATCGTCTCGCGTTTCTGCTGTGTCTACTCTCCCAGGCCGTCTCACGGCGACACACACACCCTTTTCGAGCTCGCGGGTCTTGAGCCAACGTTTACGTTGGGTCATAGCAGTTCCAAAAACGATTCTACAAATCTAGACACGTGCAAAAACCAGCTTCTCCGTTCCTAAAAAACCTAAGATTGGTTTCGTGCAGTTTGGTTCTCGTGTGAAATAACCTACAACGTGCAGAAAACCTAAAAACGGCTAACTACAAACGAAAAATGGCAACTCCGTCACAACTCTTTGTGACGGAATGAGATGAGATCGATTAACTACATCACAATCACCTGCTAACTACGAAACAAAGTCCAAACTACGCAAGTCCACAAACTACAACTACAAAGCAACTAACAACTACCTAAGTTCAAGCACAAGATCGCTACGCTAGCTATACATAGGATGATTTTTCACACCCCCTTTCGAACTTGTGCGACTCAAATCCAAAACGAATTCAGTCACTCGGCCTTGACATTCCCCATGCCATAGCAGATAGGGCATGCTAACAGCGTCATCTGCTTTGACTTCTCCGTTGTACGGCAACCTGAACAGTGATACTTCGATCCTGTTGAAGTCACAACCAACAAGGGTCCAGTCTCCGGTTGGCAAACCTGGCAATTGTCTCGGCATCGAATATGTCCATTTGGACCAGCGGCGGCAATCAAAACCTTGCACTTCTCACTGCAGTGATACATCTCTCGGCAAAAACTCCAATAGATACGAGTACTTGGGCCTTCACCGTCAGAATCACAAGACAAAGCTGTAGAACTCTTCATAGCTGTACCTGAATTTCTTGCAGTTGTATTGCGGCTTTTGCAACATTTCGTAATGCAGTAAGCTGAAAGAATACCAGATAGAAAACCCAGTGTATATACAAAGAATAAGAGCCAGTAGAGCTCTTCCATCTCTCCAGTGGCCATGGCTTGCGCGACCTGCCCACACACACAAATGGCTGCGGAAATCCAATCAAGCTCAAGCTGAAATCCATTCCAAGCAGTCCACAAACATTCCAAAGACAGTCCATCAAGGAAAATCCACAAACAATCCAAGAAAGTCCAAAGATCATCCTCTCGATGTCTTCTAAAGACTTCTGCAACTACGAAAGTCCAAAGATCATCCTCTCGATGTCTTCTAAAGACTTCTGCAACTAAGAAAGTCCAAAGATCATCCTCTCGATGTCTTCTAAAGACTTCTGCAACTCTTGCAATTCAAATTGGATTCAGAACTATATCATGCAATCGTCAGACCTCAAAGTCTCGATAATTAGATCCGACTACCCAAGCAACGCACAGGGCAACGATCAAAGAGAGTTTTCAGCCTCATGTCTTAGACATTTAAAGACCTTTCTCTATCCAGATGACTTCACAAGTCGTTCAAGTTATCTAAACTCTCACAAGTCCACTCTCGCAGCAGACTCTTCCTTTTTCCTCAGGGAAGATCAGGCGATAAAATCAGCGTAGCTTCGACGCCATCGATCACCTGAGGGCAAGTAATGCGAGCATTCGCACAAAGAATCTGGCAAACTTCCTGGAGTATTTTTCTGACAACTGAAAGTCAGAAAAGTTGAATGATGCGTGGAAATCACAAGCACAATGAAAACGTTTCTCAAGACGTTGACTAAGCTCCTCAGAACTTGACATGATCCTGAACGCTTTCTTGATGGGTAATCCTGGCAGTCCTTCAATTCCCATTGCACAAGCATGGACAACAGACCTGAATGGAATTCTGGCCTGAACAAAGGCTTGCAGCTTCGGATGAGTCCAATACCTGTTGGAATTTGGCAATTCAAAAGACATAGACAACTCGGGATGTCTTTCTACTAACCGATCCAACAACTTTTCACAAGCGGCTAGAAGTTCGAAAAACTTTCGCTCATGCTCTGGGACTCTTTTCCCACCCGAAAAATTCTGCAATGGAGATCCACCTGTGCACGGCAATGACATGTGAACGTGACAGAACAAATGCACCTCTCCCAGCTCTCGATCAGAGGCTGATCTGGTCATCTTCAAGTCCTCCATCACCTGGTTCACAAGATCTGCAACATGATTCTGTGTAGCTATCTTCTCAAGATTTCCATGAACTCCAACATAACAAGCACGGCTCTCAGCGCATGCAGCTGACAAGACACTGGCTTTGCTGCAGGCTAGCTCAACAAAAAGACCTACCCCCCTTTCACTCTTGAAATGGGTCACATCAGCTTCTGAAGAACTCGAACCTGAAATTGCAGACAAAACACTGGCCGTTGCTCCACCTCGAGCAGCTGCATTCGCAGTTGCTGCTGACGCTGTTGACGATGTCAACAACCTGAACAACCTCCGATTCGCTCGCATCGGAAGCTCTCCACTGCCATGACATGCTATGCAGGCTTCCATACGACGCTGGGGCGGTCTCCCTGATGTCTCAGAAGGCTCTGGCGGGGCCTCACTGGCCGGTGCCTTTGCAACTGGGGCTCTTGAAATCATAGACATACTGTACCCCGATGAAGGGGCAATTGTCTCAGCTTCCAGTGCTCCTCCTGGGCCAACTCTGAATGGCCTATGGGGCAACTCACCCACAAGCGACGCTGCTTTCGCTTCAGGGCTCTTCGGAGTAACCAAATCCACAGTTCGTGCTGCCTTTGCACCTGGGCTCGCCTTAGGCGATGTGGGCTCTCCAGATTTCGCCTTTGGAGGCGTCTTGGGTGGCGTCTTTGGCGCACTTGAAACTCTTCTTGGAGCTGGCGGTGGCGGTGGTACCTGAGGTGGCGCCGGGGGCGCTGGCGGTGGTGGTAGTGGGCCCTGGGCTGGAGAAGGCTTCGCTGGAGGGGCCTTCCCAGAGATGGGTGGTGCCGGTGGTTGCTGTGGCCCTTGCGGAACCCAGCCCTTCGGCGGGTGTGCAGGCGGCTTTGGACCCATCGCCACTGCCGCATTGCTGCTGGCCGGAAACTGGCCGCTTCTCTTCGGTGGCGTCTGACGGGCTCTTGGAGGGCTACCTGCGGCTGCTGGGGCCTCCTCGGACCAACCGTGGCCTCTCAGCCTCTTGTTGTGCATTCGTAGTGACTCCTGGGTCAATCCAACCTGTGAAATTGAATCACCCGGGGCAACCTCATCGCCCACAGTGGAGTCTGGCTGGTGCTGTCCTCTTGGCGTTAAAGTCACACGCCCATGAGTAAGGCTCACCCTTCGCTCCATCTCAGGGCACTGAGAGATAATGTGGCCTCTCTGACCACAATGGCCACACTTCAGACCCTTCGGATTCTTCCAGCTGAATCCACTGAAAGACCTCACAAAGGCGGGTCCTTTGTCTTCCTCAGATTTCGGGTTCCTTGTTTCGATCTGCAACTCCTCTCTCCTGTTTGACTGAGGGTTGTACATCCTTCGGACGACCCTTCTCTGACCTGGCAGTCTCGACCCTGTCACAACCTCATACGTAGGTGTTGGTCTCGACTCCTCTTCTCTCCTCTGTGCAGCGAAGAATGCAAGTGCCTCCTTCTGCCTGTTCTTCCAAGCCTGACGCTTGGCCTTACGACGACCAGCCTCGCGTCGTCTCTTCAGCAAACCAGCGGCCTCCCAGGCCTCTTTTTTCACCTGAATCACAAAACGACCAGGCTTCCTGGGCATCTTCTTCACAGCAGGTTCACGTCCAGGGGCTTGAGACCTTCCTGACGGTCCAGCTTTCTCCACAAGTCTGCCTCGAGCAGGCATGGCTTTCTTCTTGGGTCTCGGCGGCTGAGCTTTCTTTGGAGTGACCTCCACAACGTCCTCAGCCTCGGCAACTGCAGCCTCTGCTGCACCTGGTACCGCCTCAGTAGCGGCAGGGGGAGCTGCAGCCTCTGCTGCCTTCGGCACTGCCACAACCTCTTCAGCAGCTGACACCACTGCCTCTGCAGATGTCACCGCAACAGTCGCAGTATTGGCTTCACCACCTATGATGGTAACCGTATCATCAGACTCAGGTGCCGCACCGACACCTTCAGCTGTTGGATGCCCAAGGAGCGCATGGCTGTCCGGCGCTCTGGGCTCTTCTCGTTCTGCAGGGATACGTCCAGCCATAGGGGAACCGATTCCCTCGCCTTGAAACCTTTCGCAAACAGCTACAAGTGCATTGATCATCTGAGTGCATGAACGTGGAAATGGCGACAATTCACAAGTTGTTGGATTTGCAGGTTCTTCACAAATCAACTCTCCACAAAACATGCAGTTTCTGGTTGAAAACGCACACAAAATACCTGAAAAACTGTTGTCGCAGATTTCAAAATCGAGCAAACAGTCCAAAAGAATACCTTCAAACGACGAAAAACCAAGTATATCCATGTACTGCAACGCTTTGATCGTCGGCAAACATTTGGTAAAATGGTCAGCGACGTTTCCAGTTCCTCGGACATGCCCAATTTGCAAAATCTCTTTTCCCAAAAGTTCCCTCAACCAGTTCACTTTGATGTCGATATGTCTTGACC